TCTTTTTTTTTTTTTTTTTGTTTTGAGAGAGAGATTTTTGTAACACTATGCATGCACTCACCAGAGACAGAAAAGGAGAAATCACTCCCTGGGGGTGGAGGTGGGTGGTGATGCGGAATCCCTTCTCTTCCATTCTCCTCTCCGGATCTTGGACACACACGCACATGCGCCCAGTGTGTTTCAAACTGCTGGGTCCGGGACTTGAACCATGGTCAGCCATGTGGGAGTCCAGTGATGTAATCATCACACATCTGCTGTTCCTTTTTTTTTCTTTTTCGGGTTCTTGCCAAAGGGTGCACGCTCACCAGAGAGGGACTGCAGCGTGGCCTCACCCCTGTGGGGTGATTTCTCATTTTCTGTCTCTCTGTTTCTCTGGTGAGCACGTGCACCCTATAGCAAAAATCTCCCTCTCAAGAAATAAAGAAAAAAGAAATGGACTCATTCATGGTAGAGGCCCGCGGCCTGAGACCGAGATGTTAGCAGGGCCATGCTCTGCCTAGGGCTCTCTGGGAGGGGCCGGCCAGGCCTCTTCCAGCAAAGCAAGCCACCAGCTCTGGGACTCCAACCGTGGTCTGCCATGTGGGAGTCTAGCACCCTTAACCACCTGCTGGCCCCTCACTTTCCTTTTCTTTCTGTCTCTCACCACGGAGCACACACATCCTATGGTAAAAACTAAACTAAAAAAAAAAAAAAGTAAAAAAAAACACACACACACAAAACTTCTTAGGAGACCAAACAAGTGCAAAAATAAATACGAGAACGGGCCATGAGTTCTGTGACCCAGGGCCATCCCCACAATGGCCGGAGGGGGAGCTGTTTGCTAAAACCTCTGAACCCTGACAGCGTGCACTGTTTTTTGCGTGCTTTTTGCCAAAAGCCTTGCACTTACCTCCCTAGATAACCGTGTTGTGTCTTCACAGTAACTCAGGAGATGTGTTGGGGGATATGGGCCCGGGTTGGTGGGGTGGGGGTGGGCAGTCCTGCGTCATTTCCACACGGGGACAGTCTAAACACGGTTCTGGATGACCAGGGCATATTAGGACGTGTCTGACGCGGAGACGCTAGCAGGTTTGGACGCTGCGGGCAGAGACCTCAACAGGAGGGGCGGGGCGCCGAGGGGCGGGGCGCCGGGGGCGGGGCGCCGAGGGGCGGG